ATTTGAATTTCAAAACGTCAAAACTTCAGCCAGACTTTTGGGACCTCAAATGATTCCAAATGAAAAACTCATCAACTACAAAGTTGTTGAACTTTGATTTTGGTCGATTTTCCATCCAAGGTTGTTTGAAAATTTTGGTTTTTAAAATTTTAAAACTCCATATACAAATTTGAGACTATAAATGACTTTTAATAAAATAGTTGTCAATTACAAAGTTGTATATCTCATCGAGATCTACAACTTTGGTTTTGGTCATTTTTCCATCTAAGGTCGTTTGTAGAATTCGAAAAATTTGAATTTCAAAATTTGAGTGCTTCAAACAGAATTCTGGGACCATATATGGTTTCAAATGAAAAAGTCATCAACTACAAAGTTGTCGATCTCGTCGAGGTCTACAACTTTTATATAAAGTTTGTTTTCATATGACTTTATTTGAAATAATTATGAATTTATTTATACTGTAGCATGGTTATTACCGCCATATCATATAATAAACTGGCGGTGAAAATGTCTTCACCGCTGGTTCGTATGGCGAGGCGGTAGTGATGAGGAGCACATTATCACCGCCGGTTGGTGGTGCAAAGCAGCTGTGATAATTGACTATCACCATTGGTTAGTAAGATGAAGCGGCGGTGATAGTTATCAACCCGCACGTTTTTACGAACCGGCGGTGATACTCTCATCACCATTACGAACCGTTGGTGATAGCTATCACCAACGTTTTAATAATATCGACGGTGATAAAGGTGTTGGTGATAGGTCAATCTGTAGTAGTGTTTGTGCATGTTGCATGTAAAGAAGTCCAATAAAAATTAATTGGCCCAAGCCCAAGACAACCACATAAAAGGATTTCTAACCCTAGTTTCTCCCCACTCATCTATTTGATCAATCACCGCCGCTAGTGCCACAATATCCCTTCTTCCATTCCTCGGCACCCCCTCCGCCCGACCCAGTTACCATGCCTCCACTCAGACCTCTTTCGTGGCCTTTTCCTCAAAGGCTTGGATAGCCAGTCTCACACTGTTGCTGCACGCCTGCACCTTGCCCTCCTTCTTCCTCAATCTCATTGTCGGGTTGTTGCTGATGCAAACTGCTCCTGCTACCGCTGCTTCAATGCCAATGCGCTTAGGTGGGCTGAGTGAGGCCGCACGGGATGGAGACGCCATCGACTTACAGTCGGGTGTGCGACACCAATCGGAGCCCCACAACTCCAACCGGGATAGTTACGGGAGAAATGCAGCACCGAGACGGGGGCTAGGGCGGGGAGCAGGGAAAATCAAAAAGATCGAAAACAGGGGCAGGGTATCACTCCCCATCGAGAATGTCCCATTGCCATCTCTAGTTAGGAACCATATACTTTGACTGTCGGTTTTGATACTTGCTCTTGAAAACGTGACACTGAGCAGTCCCAATGCTGTAGTTTTTATCTATAAAAGATATTCTAAGAAACTCAATACCTTTGAATTCTTCATTCAGGAATTAAGGTGTCCGTACCTTAAGATACATATTGCAGAACTTGAGATAAGAGTAGACCTTATAGGTACAAAAATAGGATGATATGATGAGTTGTTGGGCTTGGAATGGTTGACTATGCATTATTCTACGATTGATTATCCACGCAAGAAGGTGACATTTCAAAAACTCAGGACTAAGCCACCGGGTGTCCAGGTCAGAGCGACGGAGCTGGTGACTCGCGGCGGCGGGCGAGCGCGGTTGGCCACGTAGACACTGGGAGGTCAGTGGTGCTCACGGTTGAAAACAAGTCTATAGCCTCAACGCAAAATAGGCAGTTTCTTGGTGCTTTGGTTTTCGAGCCAAAATTATTTGGTCATAGAGAAACATTTCATCCTCTCTCTCCTAAAGTCTTAAATCTCTTTGCCAACTCATCAAATTGCTGTGGTATTCTCATTGTAAGAAACCACTGAGTTGGGACTGCCCGTAGATCGATTCTTGTATGCAATGGATGCGGAAATAATTCTCAATATTCCTCTCAGGTCCATCCGACAAAAATAATTATCTCATGAAAGAAGTGGAATATTTTTAGTCAGGTCGGCGTAGCGTCTGCTCTCAAAGTCTCAACCACAAAAATCACTAATGAAGATTGGATATTGCGCGAGGGCAGATATGGCTAATAGCGCCTCTGCACTCCGCCGACGCAAATATGGCTAATAGCGCCGGTAGCAGTTGTGGAGCGGACGACCGATTCTTGAGCCCACGCAGTATGCGCTTGTAAACATGGAAGTGCCGGCGGCCAGACATCCGGACGGACGCGTGTGTCTGGACGTCTGTGCAGCCTGTCCATGTCCGCTGATTTTTCCCGCCCACAAGCACAGCCCGCTCCATCGCAGCGCCCACGCGTCTGGACGACTCGCCTTGCACGCGCAGTCCATCCTGTCCGCCTCGATTCAAGGTCGTTTGCCCCGCCCCGCACGCGCACCCTGCCCCCGTGGCGCCACGACCGCCGGCCCCCAGCGCTCCTCGTCCGCCGGCCCCCGGCTTGTCGCGCCTGTGCCGTGTCACCATCACTCTCCCTACGTCCCCTGACTCTTCGAATAACATGAAGCACTTAAATGCAAAATACGTATGAAAACCGATGAAATATCTAGAACATACACTTGCAGCATATGTGTGAAACATATACAATATCCAGATAAAATACTTGCAACTTGCAACGTATGAAAACACTCACTGCAACATAAGACTGAAACAACTGAAACATTTGGAACATATTGTTGCAACATGTGTGAAACATATGCAACATCCAAATCAGAACACTTGCGATGAAATATTTTGAACAAACCTCTGAAATACTTGCAACATGCCTCTGAAACACTTGCAACATGTGCTACATCCCCGGTCTACTTTTGCAACATTTATATAAAACAATTGTAAGGTACCTCTGAAACGGCTAAAACACTTGAAATATACGCTTGTATGCACTTTCATTACAACATCTCCTTGCTGAGGTTGTGCTTCGCGGAGGCCACGGGTCGACATCGGCCAGGACCTTCTAGTGGGGAACAGCGGCATCGACAGCACATCAGTATGCACGGGGGACGGGGCGTGGCAACAGAAGGGGCACGGCGCGGGACGGAGCGCGACGATGGATGGTGGAGCCGTGCGGTGCGGGATGGGGTGTACGGCGGGGAAGACAACAGCAGCGAGAGCACGGTGCAGCAGCACGTGATAGGCGAGTACATCAGTAGGAGATATTTTTGAGAGGACAGAGAGACAGAGAGGAAGCAGGCCAGCATTACCATTGTAAATATGCATTCCTCGAGCAGATCTTAAATTGTGGTTGCACCTAGAAATTTGTTCTCTATTTGAGTTCAAGTGGGAAAACAATCCCTGCTTCCTAAACTAATTCCATTGAAAAAAAGGTGGCAATGGATCAACTAATTCCATTTCATCTATATCTATACCTAATATTAAAGAGATAAAATTTCTGTCACTAATTTTTCGTCCAACCTTAATACTAAAGTGACTCGGTCTCTGTCGTAACCTCTAGAAAACCGTATGTGTTTTTTCTCCATGACGAACCACCGTGCGGACAGGAATCGGAAGAGGCAACGTCCATGCGATTTTTTATTGGTGCAGGTCCGATGCATGGAGCGTGCTGTTCTAAATATTTCTGACAATAAAATAGCTCACGTGGGAACCATCTAAATGGAGTTGAGCGATCTAACGACCCAGAGAGCTTTTCAGGTGTGTGTGTGCAGAGGATCGCCAACATGAATCCTTGTGCTCTGATTGGATAGTAGTCTGTGCGTCCGGATCCGGCCATCTTCGTTGCTTCTTGTGCTCATGACGAATTTGTTAGTAGGCCGGGGTTTAGCAGTGTCTGTGAGAGGATGAGTGTTCTGAGTTACTCTTCTTTTTATATACATCAAAACATACAATATTTTTATTAGAATATGGATGAGCTAATAGTCCCGTGAGCAGTCCAAGTAATCAAACTGTACTGTAAACTAAAATCTTGAGCAGTTTGTTGTCTACTCCGGTCTAAATAAATATCTCCAAACTATATCCAGAAAAGCTAAAACAATTTATAATTTAGACTAGGGATATTAGCTTAAGCCCCTTCCGTTAACGCACAGGCATACGTATAAACAAGGGAAGAAATCCCCATAACCTCACTGGCCATTTTGCATTTAACCGTGTGATGTTTTTGTCAAATATTAATGGTGTGGGCCATTCCAGAGGAGAAAAGTTTATCACAATATTTTATTTCAATCATTTTTTCGTTCTATTGCAACACACGGAGATTTTTGCTAGTAAACTAAAAAGATGAAGAGTGAGAAAATGACGGAGGACTCAATTTCTCAAACTAAACATCTCTAGCTATATATGGAACTATGGAAGGAACCTTGATTTTAAAGATTAGTAGTTGACGTATCACGGTTGAAGACGCCGCCAACACTATCGAAAAAATATTGTACTGGACAGACAGTTTCCCAAAGCATGATGTCCAAATCTCGATGCCTCCTAGGATTATGTGGCATTGATTGCCCATGTGCATCGGCTTTAAAACCTGTGCAGGGTTCAAATTTCCTCAAACAAGACAACAGTGATAGGTTGACCTGCCGGCATCTCGCTTCTCGCATTGCAGACTTGCAGCATTCAGGCGAGACCAATGGAGCCATTGTGGCCAATGGGCCTTGTAGGAGCCCGTTAAGCATTAGTATCTTTCCATATTTCTTCGTGTTTGTTGTTCTTTTCTCAAAATATACTTCAGTTCAACTTATGACAGTCAATCAGCATCGTCTATCCTCCGTGGCCGACATATACGTGGATTCCAGCTCCATGAAGCGTGCATTATAATCCGACGACCGCACACTTCGAAAGTCCACTCTTCGTACCATACACATCGCGGCTGGGCATCAGTGACGTTGCTAGATCTCCATCACTCTACAGTGCAGGTGCAGTGCAGCGTCAAAACAGCAAGTTAGCAACCCAAGGGTACACGGTACGGTGCAGCTCCTTCCATTCCATCGTCGACGATGACGGAGCAACCCGTCGCGGCCGACCGACGAGCCCGGCAGCATCGTCTGCTCCCCCTTCTGGTCCTCCCCGTCTTCTTCCTCTTCCTCGTCGCGCCGTGCGCCCTCTTCTTGTTCAGGTCGTCCGACCTGGCCCTTATCCCCCGCATCCGCATCGAGTTCGACCGCCGCGAGGCTCTATCTATCGCACCTAAAAATGAGCCGCGGCCAGCACAGCCAGTGCCACTGCCGTCGCCGCCACCACCGTCGCCAGCACCACCGCCTCCGGGTCCGGGTGCGGGCGATGACGAGGAGCGACGACGGCTCCCGCCTCCGCGCCAGCTGACGGACCCACCGTACTCGCTCGGCCCGACCGTCGACTACGACGGGCGCAGGGTCCAGTGGCTCCGCGACAACCCGCGGTTCCCGGCCTTCGTCGCGCCGGGGAGGCCCCGGGTGCTGGTGGTCACCGGATCGTCGCCGCGCCGGTGCAGCGACCCCGACGGCGAACACTTGCTGCTCCGGGCGTTCAAGAACAAGGCGGACTACTGCCGCGTCCACGGCTTCGACATCTTCTACAGCACCGCGGTGCTCGACGTCGAGCTGTCGGGGTTCTGGTCCAAGCTGCCGCTGCTGCGGACGCTGATGCTCGCGCACCCTGAGACGGAGCTCTTGTGGTGGGTGGACTCCGACGTGATCTTCACCGACATGCTCTTCGAGCCGCCGTGGGACAAGTACGCCGGCCACAACCTCGTGCTTCCGGGCTCGGAGGAGAATGTGTACACCGTCAAGAGCTGGATCGGCATCAACGCTGGCAGCTTCATCATCCGCAACTGCCAGTGGTCGCTGGACCTGCTCGACGCGCTTGCGCGCATGGGACCGCGCGGCCCCGTGCGCGAGATGTACGGCAGGGTCATCTCCAAGACGCTCTCCGACCGGCAGCCGTACGAGGCCTGCGACCAGTCGGCGCTCGTCTACCTGCTCGTGACGGAGCGCGGCAGGTGGGGCGACAAGACGTTCCTCGAGAGCTCCTACTGCCTCAGCGGCTTCTGGGCCTACATCGTGGACAGGTTCGAGGGGATGCGGCGGGATTCGACGACCCCGCCGGAGCCCGGCCGCGAACGGTGGCCGCTGACGACGCACTTCATGGGGTGCAAGCCGTGCGGCGGGGACGACTCCACCTACGACGCCGCTTGGTGCCGGCACTCAATGGAGCGTGCTCTCAACTTCGGCGACGACCAGATACTCAACCTTTACGGGTTCGAGCACAAGACGCTCAACACCACCGCCGTGCGGCGCGTCCGGAACGACACTGGCGGGCCGCTGGACGCGGTCGACGAGGAGCTCGGCCGGCTCTTGCATCCCGCGTTCAGGGCTGCCAATTTGTGACTACTAAAGTAGTAGGAATTTTGTTTGTTTTTTTATAACTTGAGCTTCTTAATTAGTTCTTACTGGAAAACGTACCCTTTAATTTTATGCACAAATTTGTTTTTGCATCGGCAAAATCACGAAATGTTGCAACCTATGTTATGATGAATTCTGCATACCTACGATCGAAATCGTAGCAATATAGAAGCCCGAGTCTTTTCCTTGAGTAATGTCTTGAAATTCCGTCTATCAGTGTAAGGTGAAGTGTGGTCTTAGTACTAAAAAGTGTGTGTCTTCACTTCTTAATACTGAAGACCATAACATTGAACAATCGTTATAATCTAAAAAAATGAGTTATACTTATTCCTAGGGGGTTAGTGGTGTGTGTTGGGGTTTTGGGGGTGGAGGGTGGGGGGTTAATGTTGAGTTGTTGATTGAGAAAACAAAATTTGTTCACCATCATATTTCACAAATTGCATAGAAAGGGCCAACTTCTTATTTCCCATTGCAAAATTTTACAATCCGTTACTCACCATGTTCGCTTGATCGTTTATGTGGCTTATAAGCCGGCTTCACCACTGTCATCATCGATGTCTCAATAAAACATGGGGTCCACGTGTGTCACTAACCACAACGAGTGATTAGGCAAAATTGCAACGGCAGGAGAGAATTTTATCCTTGCACGTAAGCTGCACCGATGCACAAACTTGTAAGTCAAATTGTCTGACCAGTTTCTGCCCAAATTATAATCTGCTACTGATTTGTTCCAAATTGTAAGATATTTTGATTTTTTTTAATCTAAATCCATAACGAAAGTTATGTATATAGAAAAAGTCAAAATGTCTTGTAGTTTAGAATGTGTTGAGTATTAGACACTTCGACATTACATAAATAGTCGTAACCCTTTTTAAATTTCCCGGCACAAAATTAGGAAAAAGCAAAACAAGCATACTCTGTAACAACGAACTGGAGAAAATAACCAATTATTGTAGACCACCTCAGCTTAATTGGGTGTAACACTGTCACTACAGTCAAGAAGAGCTAGATTAACTAGAGATGGCTGTTTATACATCCATCACAACCGGTAACGGTAGTACAGGAAAAATTAACCGCATCTTGACTATCTAGCAAATATTTTCATTATATTGCCTTGTCTATTACGCTAACTACATGTTACACTATCCTGTGTAACTAACTCTGATTTTCGCATTTGCAGCCTTCTACTATCCCGTACCTTAGATTTTGTATTCGCTAGCAAACAAAAGACAGGAGCAGCACCTCCAGCTGCTACCGCTTCTTCTGCAGTGTCTCAGTTGGTTTGTTTCAAAGCCAAGTGATTTGGCAGATAGCTCATGAAAAATGGCCGAGCATGATTTTTTTTTTTTGGTTCAGGTACTTACATCAGCTTCATCCAGTGATGAAGACAAATAATTCAAGATGAAATCATCTAGATCTCCTTCTAGGACTGAATCAGGGTCAGATACTTCATAGTTGGTCCGGAGATCTTTGACCATACGGTATGGCTGACAAAATGCAACAAGAATAATTATTTGGTAATATATGTTGACACTATACAGGGATGCTCATTAGAAATATTACAATAGAAATAATAATTTGTCTAGAAAGATTTATGTTCTCTTTTTTCAAAACTTCATTATTCAGAAAGATTATGTCAGAAAATTTAGATCAAAACATGTCATTAATGTATCCATAAAGGACCAGAATGTAATCATTATTTTGCACGGCTGCGGCTCCCGGCGGCTCAGAGTATGCCGGAGAGCACGTTGGCGGCCGTGGAGAGCGCGGCACCGGTGATGGCGCACTGCACGACCTGCTCGTGCGACGCGTGTTCCGAGGTGAGCGCGACCGCGGCGCCCGTGATGGCGCCGGCCACGGCGCTGTTCCTCCAGTCGTGCGTCCCGCGCACCTCCGCGAGGCCGTAGGTCAGGCCAGAGTGCACCCCAGCCGCGAGCCCTGCATCAGACGTTTATACCAGATCAAGCAGCAGCCAGCAGGTAGTAAAAGTGGTATGCGGTATGTAACACAGGGTGTAGCAGGAGTATAGAATGTGTTACCCCACTGTAACGACTCTTTGCTCACGTTTTTCACCTGTGATGATGAAAATGAAGAACAAAATCAGAAACAACAATTACACCAAGGCACGGCCGGCTTGAACTAGAACTGGGTTAATTCTGTAGTAGATGGCTTACCATGGCCTCTGCCGACTTGCAACTACTGTTCGTCCCTGCCCAAAAATCGCCAACACAAGAGATTACATCACAGGTAAACAGCACACAAGGTTACACGGGTAAACAGCAAAGTAATAATTTTTTTTTAAGAAAGGACGGCAAAAGCTTCGCCGCGATTTCTATTAGACGAAGAAAAGAAAAAAAAAAGGCAAGTGTCCACCAGTTTAAAAAAACTGGACCCAAAAACCATACAACTAAGGAAAGTGTTTCACTCATCCTGTACAACTTTGGTATAACCACTGAACAACTATCAAAACTCACGCCACTAACGCGCTCCAACTTGGTCGAAACGACCCAACTAAAAACTCTACTAACAACTAACAAGGGCAGAAAGAAACACCACGGCATCACCAAACAACAGAGCTTGGGGCATCACCATGGCCAGACAGCAAGAAGCAACTGCGGAACTAAAAAGCCTAGCAATGCCTCCAAAGAGGAAACGACGCTAAAAGCATCGACAAGGTAACCCGTCAAGGGAAGATTTTCACCTGCAACATCCAGTATGGTAGGAGACGAGGTAGGAAAGGACGCCTCCAAGAAGGAAACGACGTCCACAGACGTAGTCGTCCAAGCTTTCGCCCGACCTTAGGTAACCTCCACACCGTCGCCGCTAAAGACCGAACCCTACCTGGAAGGCAGGATGCGGCGATGGATTAGCAGCAACCTCGCCCGCCCGCCGACCCTAGGGACGCCGGCCAGGAGAAATGCCGAGAGAAGCCCGTCGGAGAGTCCGCCCCCGCCAGAACCGGCAAAGCCGGCCAACAGCAAGCGAATCCGGCTAGCTCCCCCTCAGAAGCCAGTCTGCGGAAGGGGAAAGGCAGATGGCGGGGAGAAGAGGGCCGGAATCAGAAGAAGCCCCAGTCGCCCAGCCCACCAACGTCCCAACCCCTACCGAGTCAGCCCTGCATCAACCATGCCGCGCAAGATCCCCAGCAACCTTCGCCAGCTCCATGCTGCCCACTCCGCCATGCAGCCGTCGGCCCCAAGGACACCGGATCCGGCCTCCAGCACCCCGAATCCGCCGACCTGAGCCACCGTTGCAGGCGCCTCAGCTGGCCAGCGTCAAAGGGGATCTGCCCGCCGTCACCGCAGCATGCTGGAGCCCAGGCCAGGCACCGTCCAGATCCAGTCGCCGCGCACACCGGAGCAGCCTCCCCTCGTTCCCCCAGCGGGATCCAGCCAAGACCGGCCAGCAGCTCGGGCAAAGCGGCCATGCCCGACCGGAGCCAGAGAAAGGGAGGGACGAGACAGTTGGAGAGGGTGCAGGCACCACGCGGGCATGCCCGGCCACCGAGCACTTCGGCCACCCGTGCAGATCCGGCCGCCGGACCCCAGAGCAAGCCATGCTACGCTGCTCGTCGCTGCTCGCCGGGATGAGAAAGGAGGAAGGAGAGTGATGGGTGAGGAGGAGAGCGAGATTGCCCCGTCACCGCCCTCCTCGCTGCTCGCCGGGCTTCCGACCGACAGCTCCAGCGGCGGCGGAGGCGCCGCTAAGGTTGCGGGGATGCGGGTGCGAGGGCTGGGAGAGCCGCCTGAGCCGCCCGTCGAGACGACGCGGGACAGCAAAGTAATAATCGGCTGAAAAACCAGAGACGTTACCATTGAGCTCCGGGAACGAGCGTTTCTTTGGGGATATTTAACTTTTCACCATTATAACGGACGTCACCTCTTCAGATAGCACTCTTAAAATTGCTCCTACATATTTACCATCGAGAGAGAAGAATTCATAACTTTAAACTATTTTTGCATACGCGGCAGGACACGTAGGGAAGCCAGCGTGTTTGTGGGATGCGAAATAACTTTGTTACCCCTCATCTATTTCTTCTTCGTCCGTCTCATCATCATCGCTTGGTAAAGATACATCTCGGCCTACGCGCCTCTCAGCTCCGCCTCCTCCTCCCTCCCAGACGTGAACAGTAGCCCGACGAGCGCGAGGTCTGCGCACCACCCCAGCTAGCAGCGCTTCTCCGATGGCGAACGCAGGCACGAGATCCGCAGCGCGTGGGCTCTGCCGCGCGTGCGTCCCCATCCCCGGCGTGCCTCCCCCATGGTCGGCTGCGCGAGGTCCAGCTCCTCACCTTCCGGTCGCTGCTCCCCCATCCCCGGCGGCGCGCGCGAGGTCCGGCTCCTCCCCTTCTGGCCGCGCGAGCTCCTAGGTCCGGCGAGGTACCACCATGTTCGTCACCGGCGGGGGAAGCTGGATCGCCGGTACCGGCAGCGACCGCGCACGAAGAGACCCAGCGCAGCTCATCTGTGGCCGGGGATGCGCGTCCTCCACCGGCGAGGAAGCAGAGGAGCACGAGCACGAGGAGGCACGGGGCCGCCATGTCCGTCGCCGGCGCCGAGGAGGCCGTGCTCCTGCGCGTGTTCTAGGTGCCACCATGTTCGTTGCCGGCGTCGGGCGCGGCCGTGGACCTGCAGGCCGTGGCCCCGGCTGCCTCGCCCCCAACTTCCCCTATGTCCTGTCAGCCGCCGCCATGAACCCCATCGTCGGTCATGGCCAAAGCTCGAGCGAGGAAGGAATAGAGATAGAAGAAATAAGTGAGGGACAAAAATATCATTTTCCGTGGTCGGTCTATGCTGTCAGATCAAGTTAAGGTATCATGTCAATGAAAATGGCAAGAATGTATCAAATGCTCTCTCTCGATGGTAAATATAAAGGAACAATTTTAAAAGTGTTGTATGAAGAGGTGACATCCGTGATAACGGTAAAAAGTTAAATACCCCGTTTCTTTGAGCCCGGTGGCGCCGGACACAGATCCTCCCTCGCCTGCAGTCAGCCACAGCAACACACCGCACAAAAAAACTCGACAAGGGACACAAACAGAGCGAAGTAGTCGAACAGCTTGCTCTACGAGAGGCAGCCCCACCACCACAAAGCCAAAGAAGGCTTTGTTACCTTCGATTGCCATGAAGTATGATTCCCTCGTGACCGCCTGCACTGCGCCGATCTGCGGAGATACACGGGATCAGAAGCAGTGGTACCAACCTACTTGAGTTGTTTGGGAAGGAAAAGAGAGCGGCAGAGGCCAGCAGCGTGCGGCGCGCTTACCCCCGCGGCCTTGACGAAGCTCTCGGCGATGCGGTTGAGGAGCGGATGGCCAAGGTCCAGCATCCAGTTCTTCTGCTCCAGGCCGCCGCGCACCTCGTCCGCGAACGCCCGCGCCTGCATCTCCACGCCGCTGCTCATCTTCCCCTGCTCTGCTCTTCGGTTCCCCTCTTGTCTCTCTTGAAGATATCCGAGCTAGGAGCTACCGCTGCAGCAGAGCCCAGGTAGACAAAGCACGAATGCACGGGGCAACTAGGCGATGCAGAGAGAGAAGGGCGAAGTTTAGTGAGCGGTGACCCGGGCCAGCGCCAGTCCGTCCGTACATAACACAGATCGACGTCCTACTGGTCCTTGGCCTGCTGGGGAAGAACTGGAAGACACGTACGCATGCTTCGCCGACACGTGCCCGCGGGGTGTTTACTCGTGGCACTCTTCTGGAACGTGCGCGGCGCCTTCATGGTTCTTTGACATCTGCCGAAATCCGTGCGTTGGCCTCGTTCGCAGCTTCCAACACACAGACAACAATGCAGCTCCCAGAATTGTTTGTCACCGTAGATTGGGCCTGTTCGCTGGTCGGTGCTGGTTTGAACTGGCTGGTGCTTGGTTTTTTGAGAGAAAAACACTGTTGGTTGACTGGTTTGAGCTGGCTGAAATCAACAAGCGAACAGGCTGATTGTTCGTTCATTCTGATCAAATACACTTCAAAATCACCTTTCATCATCAAACATAAAAGTTATGTCTTTTTTGGAGGAGAAAACTGTTATGCCTACTATTGTTCTGCCTGATTCAAGTAAACTGTTGTTACTACTACTATTCTGCCTGATTCATTACTTCATGGATACCGCCGAACAGTTCCAATTTTGGGTATTGAGGGCCTGTTTAGTTCCGCCTAAAACCCAAAATTTTTTATGCAGTATCTATCTCATCAAATCTTACGGCATATGCATAGAGTACTAAATGTAGACGAAAAAAAAACTAATTGCACAGGAAATCGCGAGACGAAACTTTCGAACCTAATTAGTCCATAACTAGACACTAATTGCCAAATACAAACGAAAGTGCTACAGTAGCCAAAATCAAAAAAAAATGGATCTAAACGCGCCCTGAGTTTTGTGACACATGAGCAGCTTACAGTCGGAGGCTGATATACCTTTTTGGATGATGAAAAAGGGAGTCATCAAACAGATGAAAACAAAACGCATTGGAATGATGCATAGAAGGGACTCGAGGTATCCAACATGTTTGCATCACTCATTCCAGTTTTCAAAATGTATGAACAACGAACCGATAGACAGGAAAAAAAAAGTTCACGACGTCCATATACACCTTCAAAAATCGCACGCACTAATTTGCGAGCTTATTTCTTGGACCATGCCAACCCTTATGAGCTGATCCCGAGCTGGATGCGCCAATCCTCAAGCTGCTTCTTTACTTGTTCTGAACCAGTAGAGCCATAGGATATGAACTTGTTTACAGCGTTTTCAACCCCCAGATATTCATAGACGTCGCCCTCAAATACAGGATGGACAGATTTTAGGTCATCCAATTCAAGCTCAGCTAGCTGACACTGCTTGTAGACGCATAGAGCAACAGACCTTCCAACTATCTCGTGAGAAGTTCTGAAAGGAATTCCCTGTGAAGCGTGGAAAAAGAAAAGTTAAGCAATCATAATCCCCCATCCAACTAAAATAAACAATAAAACTATGGTACTGTTAGTTTGTGTGTTCCTTTGCTATCACCATGTTTCAAAGTTGATGTCTAACTGCTACGTGCAACTATGTTAATATCTTTCCCTATGGTTTACACAGCCATGAGAGAACAGAGTTTACCTTCTTCACAAGGTAATCCGCCAGCGTCGTTGCATCCAGATAACCAGCTGGCAGGGAACTTTGTATTCTTTTCGAATTAAAAGAGATATTTTGAGCAAACTCCGTGCATACTTCAAGCATTCCTAATACGGCTTTCACACTATCAAACAAGGGTTCCTTGTCTTCCTGCTTAGGATGAGAACTTCAGAATATGCATTCATTTAAGAGTGGATATACTTATGAGAATTAGGCTCACCTGAAGGTCACGGTTGTAGGCCTGTGGAAGGCCTTTACAGAGGGTAAGAACAGTCATGAGGTCTCCAACAACCCTAGCAGATTTCCCACGAACAAGCTCCATTGGATCCGGATTTTTCTTCTGGGGCATAATGCTGCTTCCTGTTGAAACTTTGTCACTTGGTGTCAGGAACCCAAATTCCTCTGACGCCCAAAGAACCCATTCTTCACCAATTCGTGAAAGATGAACAGCAGCAATTGAATTGGCAGCAAGAAACTCTAATACAAAGTCACGGTCTGATACTGCATCAATGCTGTAGATTGGAAAAAAAAATTGAGCTTAAGTGAGGAAGGACTAAAGGAAAGAGAAAAATTGAACGATATAGCATTCTCTGAGTTTCTAGCCTGACTGGTGAGTAACTGAGTACTCAAGAGCATGACTGACAGTTCTAGTTAATTGGTATTCAAAGCAGATTACAGACAGTCAACACTAAAAAAAAGGGGCGTACCCAGTGCAGTACAGTCAATAAACAATTATCGTGTCTGTATAGCATTTTTACATTCCTTAGACACAACCAAATCAAAGTGCTTGGAATATAAAGTTGAATATCTAATATATTTCATGTGTGGTTGCATGTCAAGCTAGATACTCATTTTAGCAGATGCAGAGAAACTAGAGTACTACAGTTTTAGGTACTCAACTTCATAACACAATTCTAGCTTTATCACAGTTCAAGAAAGTGTTATAGCAGAGAAAGTAAGCTACACTTGCAGTCATGAAATGATATTATTCAAAGAAATCAAGAAGTTACCTATTCTTCATTGGAGCCGTAAATTTCAAATCTTTAGCAGTTTGGAACCTATCAATGGGAAGTCCAGTTCCAGCCAAAGCACAAGCACCAAGAGGGCAGAAATTCACTCGCTCCCTGCAGTTGACCAGTCGACCAGCATCACGCTCCAACTGCACATAGTGTACATCAGAATAGGGTCAGGCAGTCGTGAGTAACATGGTTTATTCGGAAAGATTACCATAAATCATCTGGGCCACCATTAAAACCCTTTCATGGGGACACAACAAGCAATATACTATAAATAAACTGTTAGGAATGTAACTTTAATGCTTCATTACAGGTCATGCCATTTTGAAGGTTAAATGGTGAACGGAGCTAGTGGTTCAGGCATTCAGCAGCTCAAAGATTGTAGAAGAAGATAAAACACTTAATTATGGTCCACTTAATTTATATTCCGAAGTTAAGAACTTTGCATATTATGTGTATGTATTATCTGGACTGCACCAATTGGGAGGACTTCAAATAGTGTGAAACCATTTATGTACATAATTGAACTTTTTTTGTTGCATTGGGGATGTCAACATACCAAACTGACAGTTTGAACATATAATGTTCTCTTTTCTGCACAAAAAATCCTCATATTTTTTCAGTTTCACCGTAAAAAAAACAACAGAACTGATATGCAACACAAGCATTATACATTAAACATATATCTGGGATGCACTAATTTGATCGCTATATAGAGATAGATGTGATTTAAGGACTTGTTTGCACCAGAACCACAAGGTGCAAATTGGGGAATAATAATCAACTAGAGATGGCCCACATTCAACACTAACATTCTAGTCTCCTCAAGTTAAAAAATAATAATAAATTTCCAATGTTGCGTTGTCAAGAAAGCCAAGAGAATTTAAATCACCTGTTCAACATATGACAAGAGAAGATGTGGCAGCAGAACAGGCTGTGCCCTTTGCAGATGAGTATAACCTGGGACTATTAAGTCAACATTTTTTGAAGCCAACATAACCAGAGATGCCTGAAAAGATAAGAGTGATGCTAATATTAGAAGAAGTGAACAACTTTTTTCATAAATATAGGGAAAATAGAAAAATTATGTATTAATATGACAGACTGGAATCACTCATGGAGTCATAAGAAAAGACTTCACTTGACAAATTAATCTATTCTTTTGCATCAGTTTTATATCAAGAAGCAGGAAGGTTAATCAAAAGTTCTCTTTGAAATTCGTACCCTAAATTGAGCATTATAGAATAAATCAACAGAAAAGAATCTTTGAATTTTCAACCAAGCAACATTTTTTAATTGTTGGAATGGCCATGTGTTAATTGAGCAGAAAACAAAAGAGTGCCACACCAGCAATGAGTGACAGATAGAAAAGAAATGTGAACATGATAGTGGCAGGACTACATGAGCATCAGAGTAAATTCAGGAGCAAACCTGAAGCTGCTTGATACGAATCAAAATCTTGTCAATAGCATCACGACACCATAGCCTTAGATCCGTCACAATTTGGTCATTGCGGCTCCTGGCGGTATGCAACTTCTTGGCTGGCTCACCAACCCTCTCAATCAGAGCTGCTTCAATGTTCATATGCACATCTTCCCGGTCCTTCCTCCACTCAAATTTGCCTTCTTGGATCAGCCTCTCTATCTGATCAAGCCCCTCTAAGATGGTATCCCTATCAGTAGCTGTTATCAAACCCTGCATTGCAAATTACAAATTATTCAGACACCCAACTCAAATATTGTGATAATTAGTTTTAAGTAACATATAGCTTAAGCATTAAGACAGTAAATTTGATTCAGTATTTGACCAAAATACAACGAACAACATTTCTGATAAAACCTTGAGGGTAGGCAGATTAAACTTCCTCAGTGCCACCTAATAGAAAGCTAGCAGATTTTAACACTTGTGAATCCCAGCAAGAGCATAGCAAAGGAGCACAACAAAGAAGCTGGCATTTTCTCGAACACATGGCGAGCAAGGTGGTTAATAGCGGGTTAACCCAGACCAACAACCCCCCAAAACGTTCGACGGAGCCCTGGACCTGACGGGACATCTAATTTGTCGAACACCTAGACGACACCGACCGCCAAGAAGCGTACAGGTGATACCTGGCCGGCCAGCATAGAGGCGTGGGCCTTGCTGCCCATGATGTCGTACTTGTAGAGCTGCCAGTCGTAGGATATGGACTCCGTGAAGCGCTCCACGGCGTCGGTGACGCCCTCCTCGAACCGCCCGCCCCAAAGCTTGGCTTCCCTCTTATCATCGCTCTCCGAGGATGCCATCGAGGTGGAGGCCGCCGCGACGGGCGGGAAGGCGGCGCGGTGGTCCCGGAGGGTGACGCGACCGGCCGACGGGGCTATGCGGGCACAAGCAGGCGAGGCGGGTGCCCGGAAGATTAGGGATTGGGAGGTGAATGCCATAGGCGTCGTCCCGCCGTTGTTTGGCGTGGCGGCCGGCGGCGTAGTAGTAGTAGACTAGTAGGTGTTGGCTTGGTGGGTTTTGGCGATCGTGCTGGGGACAGTCCACAGAGGCTGACCACGGGACTATTGAGAGGTGCCCGACGACAAGGGCTGCCAAGAAAGTTTATTACGTATACGTATTTCAACATATGGATAGATAGACGTTGAAGGTTGATTGAAGCGGGCCTAATATGGTTCGATTTGGACAAATATTTTTTATATATTTGAGTTTGAATATGATATGGATTCAGAGATCTTCTCAAATACAGATACAAAACATGACGTTCTATGAATAAATAAATATATTAGAGTATATATATATATATATATATATATATATATATATATATATATATATATATATAAACATGTCAGGTGCAAACCAACCAACCTGTACAAACTTAAAAACTATCGATCAGGACCACTAGATACTGATTCAATAGATACTGATCCAATGGATGGGGTGAGGGGGCTTAAGCGCAAAAAAAGGCCGGCGGGTGGGGGGCTTAAGCGCAAAAAAATCTCACTTCTCACCCCATCCATGGTATCAGTATCTAGTGGTCCTGATTGATAGTTTTCAAGTTTACACAGGTTAGTTGGTTGGTTTGTACCTGATATGTTGCCCTATCTCCTACAACTAAAAAACAAAGTGTGGATTTTTTTTGTGCGACATTTGTTTTGGTTCGTCCGTCTGCCCATGCCTGCTATCCCACGATATCTTAATTACTGATTGATCATGTCATTCTCCTTGATTGAATATTGCCTGTCATGTGATTGAGGAATCACGACAAAATAGGAAGTAGAAAATTATTGTGCTATCCATATACACATTGCATGTTTGCATGCACCAGCATACATGGCAACGAGCAAAAGAAAAGAGAATTAAGACAAAAAAACATCTTTGCATTTCTGAGAACCTTACCAAATCTGCCTACATTTAATTACTTCCCCTCATTGCATTTGTAAAAGGGACATATTTTTTCTCCTTTCATTTGGTTTCACGCTCACGTATTCCATCGCCCTCGCTTGTTGTTTCTTGCTTGAATCATAGTTGATGTCATCTGTCTTCCATGACTCAGCCTCCCAATCTCAAGAAAAGGTCCCTGTCTCTCCCTGACTGGAGATCTGGCCTGCCAGAGGATCTCCTCGAGTCCATCGGGCAGCGTCTCGTGTCAGGCCACGACGCGGCGTCCTTCCGATCCGCTTGCTCCCCATGGCGCACCGCTGTCCCGTTCACGATCTTCGGGGCGCTCCTGCTGCTCCCGTTCGACCCCGACTCGGATCGCGTCGGCTTCTACTGCGTCCCGGAGAAGAAGGTCTTATCCAAGATGTTGCCCGACGTACGCGGCAAGGTGGTGTGCGGCTCCTTGTGTGGGTGGCTGCCGCTCATGGACGAGGCGGCGTCCGTGACGCTGCTGAATCCATTCGTCGATGCCCGTGCCCCCGCGTTGAGCTCCTGCCAGAAGGCAAACACGTCGCGGCGGCGTCCTCATCGGAACACGTGTCTAGGGTCCACGGCCGCTGGGTCCTCCATCCCACCAACGACTAAGGGGACGCAGATGCCACAGGCAGAGCCATCTAGCTAGAAGACATGAGGGACGTGTTCTTCCGTGAGATCGTGCTCTCGACGTCGCCTGACGCCGCCGGCCGCGAGTACGTGGCCATGGCCATGCTTGGGTGCTCCACGGAGGTCGCGTTCTGTCGGGTTGGAGTCGACAGCACATGGACGCTGCTCAACACCAAACTGGAGTTCTCCGTGGAGTCCATCGTCCACTGCCAAGACAAGTTCTTGGCGATCGACTGCACTGGAGAAATCTCTGTCTACAGCAGCAACGTCGGCGGCGCTACTCCAACGGCGACGCTGCTGCCATCGCTGTCGCCACCTACGGGGCTCTTCCACCGTAGCTACCTGGAATCAAACGGTGAGCTACACATTGTGGGTGCCATGGTGAGCACGTTCCATGAGACACAGAGCTTCACCTACAGCAGCGCGATCTACAAGTGCAACCTCCACGCCCGTACGTCGGAGTGGTCCAGGGTGAAGGACATCGGTGATCAGACACTGTTCGTGTCTAAACATTTCAATGAAAGCTTCAGTGGAACAAGTGTATCCAAGTACAAGGAAAACAAAATCTACATATCTGAGCCATTGTATGGGGATCCATACGACTTGGTCCATCGACTGGAGATCGTTGATATTACTACCGGCGCATCCGAAGTGAAGCCGGTCTAGAAAAAGATGCAGGGTTCCGAGGCTCTAAGTTGGATTCGACCCAATCTCTGAAAGCTCTAGAGTTTATGAGCCTACGACGCCGCGCACTCCGTGACTGTGTTAAATTCATAAACTTTGCTTTTTAATTAAATGTCACTTTAACGTTGGTATTTAATTTAACAGTATTGTTATATTATCGTGTGATCCGTGTGTTTTTAGTATAAATTGTTAGTTATGCCGTAGCAACACACGGACACGCTACCTAGTATATTATATATACATATTTATTAGTGGGTTTAAAGAAACTAACTTGGTATTGTAGATGTTTGTGTTTGTTTTTATAAACTTAGCCAAATGTGGAAAAATTGACTTATTACAAAACTAAAATGGCCTTTATTTTTATTACTATATCCGTTTTCGATATGTTTGGTTCTGCTGTTAGACTATCTCCAACGGCGTAGGTAAACGTGGACCCAAACGCAAAATGCCTACGGCACAGTGTTTTGGGTTCTGAAATCACGCTCTAACGGAGAAGGCAAACACGGCAGCCATTTTGCGTAGCATCCGACTCGCAAGGCAAAAAAGCGTCTTCGTTCTCGACGACGCAAAACGAGAGAGAGAGAGAGAGAGGGAGCAGGTGCGGGGCCCGGCATAGGGGCGGGGCAGCAGGTGCGCCACCGCAGCAGGGGCAGCCCTCTCCCTACGCCGGTGCGCCGCCGCAGCAGGGGCAGCCCTCGCCTTGCACCATGCCCGCGCCCTCGCTGCGGCCCACCTCCCCGCCGGCGCGCGCCCTGCTCCGGTGCGCCACCACGCTGAGGGGCGCCCATGCCCGGGCCCACCAGCGCCTCTGCGCCACCACGCCGGTGCGCCGCCGCGCCGAGAGGTGCCCTCGCTTAGGCCGTCAGCGCAAGACCGCCGAGTGTGGACGGATGCATCCGCTCCTTTCTCCGTCCCAGTGCGGTCAACGAGTCGAGCAAGACAGAGAGAAAAGAGAGGAAGGGAGAGAAAGAGAAGAGAGGGGAAGAGGGCAGCGAGGCAGAGCGGAGGCTCCTGGTCGCCGGCGGCTGGCCGGTGTTCCAGCGCGAATTGGCCGGGGCAGCTGGGCAACGACGGTCCTCGGGAGGAGCTGAGCAGGACGGGGAAGAGAAGGCAGAGGGGGAAAAAGAAGAGCAGAGCAGGAGAGAGGAGAGGGCAGCGGGATTTGGGGCTTCCTGCTCGGTCATCCGTTGGAGGGTCAAGGAATGGGTGCGTAGCTTTTGTTACTGTGCGTTACCTAAACCGGTAAAATGGGTATTTGATTTGGGTCACGTTGTTGGAGTCAGTCTTAGGAGGGCACGTATTGTTTGTCCATCGTTTAATATCAATAGTGTAGTCATTGTTATATTTTCACGCCACTGGCTGCTGCGCCACCCAATGCAACTTGGCAACATAAAGTATGACAAACGCCGGTGTCAGATCACATCGCAAAGTACAGTTTACGAGAGACGAGGATTCAGAAAGATGAATTCCACGTCAACCCAACATTATGAGCTCGAACATCTTACCGTTTCGGCGAGCATGACAGCGTGCACGCGGCTGCACGCGACGTCGTGCGCCCACAGTCCCTCGGCCGCCGCAGCCACAAGAGGCTCGGAAAACCGTTCCCGTGCTTGGGACTCGGCAGATTTAATCTTCCCCGGCACCGCCGCAGCTCCCACCCTCTCCACCACCGTCCGTTTGGCTGGCGGCAGTGGTGGTTCGTTGACGTAATCCAGCGATGACTTCACGGAGGACTCCGCAGAGTTGTCAGCTGAGCTGCCAACCATCTCGATGAGGCCCAATTCGTGCGTCGACAGCCGCTCGCCCGTTGCCACCTCGACGATCTCTAGCCCCTCCACCTGCTTCGGCTGCTGCTGCTGCATCTGCGGCACGAAAGGTGACCGCGTCGAGTGCTTGACCGACCTCGCCGTGGTCGGTTGTCGTCCTGTCGGCGCTGGCGAGTTGACGGTGGTGCTGCCGTCCTCCGTAGGCGCAGGAGAAGGTGGCTGCGTCACAGCCGGGGTCGCCGCGGCCTGCACCTTCTCCGACGCAGCAGGGGAGCCAGGCGGATGCGTCAGCAGCGACGCAGCAGGCGTGAGCGCCGGGCGCCGCGGGGCGCTCACCGTGGCCGCGGCTTTGGCCTGCTTCCGCTCCTTCTTCTTCCTGCGGAAGCACGAGCCGAAGGACGGCATGCGTGGTTTCCGGTGCTTCTTCTTCTTCTTCTTCTTGTGCTCGTCGGTGGCGCCGATGCCGCTGTGGTTCGGCATGGTGTACGCGAAGAAAGAAGGTTCCTCCTCCTGGGTTTGCTGCTGCTGCGCTCCGGCGGCCATCGTCAGCGCATCACGGACCTTCGACGGCGTCCGCTGCCGATGCTTGCTGCGACTGCGGCTGCGGCTACGGTCTCGGCCGGGGCATCGGAAGAGGGACCTCAGCGGGTTGAAGGTGCAGCACGGCGTGGCGCTGTCCCCTTTGTTGGCGGCTAAGCACCTGCACCGGGCGCGGCGGTGGGACGACCGGCCGCGAGCGCGAGGAGTCGTCGACATGGCTGCTGGCATGGCAGAACGCGACGGGTGTGGGTGTACGGCGTCGTTAGTGTTGTTCGTGGAGTTGTAGGTTTGTGGCGGGTTACGCGTGCATGGTTTACGTCATTACGTGCAGAGCACTACTGGCGGCCAGCCGCGCAGCCGTGCCGACGCTGCGTAGCGCAAGTGCCTCCTGTGTGGTGAGCTCGTTTGCGAACGTGGCGCTTGGTTGGGCAGCACGATGTGGGATTAATTACGTTAATTGTTGTTGCCTGTCGCGGCCTCTCGAATTGAGATTAGAGACAGTCAGATAGTCCGTGTTCTTGAAATTTTAGTCTTCTCAGCGATAAGTTATATCAGGATGAGCATCGGACACTCAAAAAGTCATGCTTGCATAGCTCCAATTATACTAAATCTGTGGATCATTTTAAGCTAGGTATATTTATAGTTCTAGGAGATATTAAGACATGCGCATAGCATTTATATGGATAATTTTGTTTGTATTTTAGATTAAACATAAATACTTAAACAACTTTAGTTTAGTCTATAAACTGCAAATACAACCAATCCTAGAGCTACGTCAAACAAGCCTAAATCCACAATTCACTTCGGTCTCATCTATCCCTCCTTGCCTTCTCTTAGCCTACCTCTATTTCCGTTGGCTTTTGTCGCTGCCCCGACCAATCCTAACACTCTACTTTTAAGCTCGCATGTCACTAACACCATCGACTGTGATCTCTTCAAACCCGGTTTCTAAGGTCCGGGCTCTTCCCCCAAAAATACAAACCCTAATCTCGCTAGTAAAACTGGAGGTGCGGGTACGAAATCGTAGCTCAGCTGATTAGGTGTTTTGGTGAGATTTGTCCACCTAAGATGAAGTCCTTGACTTGACGTTGTTATTCCTATTTTGTTATATTTATTTTAGAATTTATCGGCTATATTCTTTCACTGGTAGGTGACGTGCCAATCAACAACGAGGCATGTGCGGTGACTTCGTTGAGGCATTTGTGTGGCTTCATCAATTTTGAAATTTGTTAGTTCAGTATTTTACAGGTGCTTATAGAGGTCGGTTGCAATACTTTTCAGCGAAACGAACAAAGCCATTAATCTTATAAAATATGTCGACTCAATTTTTTGAGATATTTATAGTGATAGAATCTATGTGTGTAGAAACATGTAGATGATCTAAACAGCATCACCTCGCCTGAAATTTTGGATCAAGTCTCGAGCAGCGTGTGTGTGTGTTTTAGAAATGAACACCGTTTGGCCCCGTTCGCTGGTCTAAAACTTAGCTGAAACTGGCTGAAAAACACTGTTCCGGCTAAATTATTGTGAGAGAAAAACACTGTTCCGACTGAAAAAAAAGCCAAACAAACCATTTTTAAGACAAGCGAACGGGACCTTTGTGTTGAACTAGAACGGGCTTAGAGCCTCAAGCAAGCTGGGCTGGGTTTGTTCGTTAGTCCTCACAAGGCGGTCCATGCGTAAACCGCCCATGGGTCCGGCACAACGAAATGAATATTCAAAAGAAAAAAAGTTCACATTACCTCTCTTAACTTTAGCGAAAGTTTTTTTTCCTCCTTGAACTTAAAAATCGGGTAAACCACCTCTCTGAACTTTTAAAATCATTCGTTTTACCTCTCTGACCAGTTATAAGTGGTTTTTAAAGGCGGTTGTGTCTTTTTCTTTTTATTTATTTATTTCGGCTGAATCTTTGAAAAATCATAAAATGGAAAACCCAATTTTGTTGGTGTCGGGTTCATAAACCCGGAGTCCCTCATAGATCTGATTTCCAGCAAAAGCTCGGCCCAGCAAACGCTGTTGCGAACGACGCGCAACTCCTGGGCCGGCCCAAAAACCTAACGACAGGCCAGAAGGGCGATCCAATCTCCGACCGGAAGGCCTGGTCAAAGAGGAACGACGCTTGCTTCGGCCCACCTCTCCGACCGGAAGGCCTGGCCAAGGAAAGGACAACGCTCGCTTCCGACTCCGGCCCGCCTCTCCGACCGGAAGGTCTGGCCAAGGAGGAACGACGTTCGCTTCCGACTCTGACCCGCATCTCTGACCGGGGATACACCGAACCTCTGCTTACAGCTTTCCTCCGACTGGCGTAGTCGGAACCGACTAGGACCAACCGACCGGGGACGCCCACTTGGTAATGACCCAGGAAATGGGCGGAGCAAATAAGGTAGGGCACTCAAGTCAACCGCAATATCAAGGACCGTACCCTGTATACCTGCAGGACAGTACCGACAGGGCATGTTAGAAGAGTGCCTTGACACCTTCCAGGCATGTCAGAGCCCAAGCAGTGTTGTGGGCACCGACGTTTGCCTCATAGTGTTGTGGGCGCCATCAATTCCCATACCAGGCGAACACGGTAAAACTCCCCACATGCCTCTGGGCATCAACAGTGTTGTGGGCGCCGTCATTTGCCATACATAGTGAACACGGTAAAACCTCCCACATGCGTCTGACATAAACAGTGTTGTGGGCATCTACAATCATCTTGTACCTAACGGCGTGGACAACAAGACTTAGTAGCATGCGTACACCCTCTCTCTCTCACTTATAAGGCTGTCCCCTTCATCTATAAAAAGAGATACACTCTCTCCCAATAAGGATGATTCGAACACACACGATCGATTCGAACAACAAACGAACAACAGACGTTCGAACACTTAGCGCATAGCGGAGCTCCCGTCACTCTCGACCCTTCGGTCCGGAGTCTGACCGGACCTCTGATATCCCCCATCTTACTCCCTCTCATTTATAACCCCACAACAAACTTCGAGCACCTGGGCTCGAGAATAAAGTCATCGACTGACTCAAACTGGACGTAGGGCACGTTGCCTGAACCAATATAAACCCTGTGTCATTGAGTGCTAGGCCACATTCGATGACAACGTACGGCAAAACGACAAATATTTACTAGTTGGTCACTTTTCGCACCGACAGTTGGCGCCGTCCGTGGGAAGGACGACGTACGTTCACGCTTTTGAACATCGGATGGCCCACCTTTCCGCCATCTCCGGCATGGCGGGCTCAAGCGATACGACTCGCTTTGGCTCGCTGAAGTTTCCCGCACTCCTAATTGTTGGGATGTGGGTTCCACCCATCTTTGAGCCATCCCAGACCTTCCTCTTTGGAAGCCTGGACTTCATCGCCGACCGGCTCGGCGTGATTCACCTCCGCGAGGAGACACTTGTCATGGCGCCCATCGAAGGAGGAGCGTCCTCCGTCAGCTCTGGGACACCCGGCGACCTCAACGACGAGGCGCCCATGCTTCGCTCCGAGCCTATGCTGGGCTCAAACCCCGCTGTGAGTAACGTACATACTGTTATTTACTCGCTATTTACTATTTTTCGCCGATTCTCCAGAGGAACCCCGTTGTCCCTACCGCGACCGCCATGCGACTGGTTCCTCTACGGCCTCACATCCCCCGTGGACGCGTATGCTCGGGGCTCCGAGGGATGCTAGTGCCGCCCCCTCTCACATCCGAATTCACGGGGATGGCGATCTATGCTCCCGCCTCTTTTCACGACCTCATGGATGAAGATGTTGAGAGCGACGGCTCCAGCATCAGCGGTGTCATGACACCTAGCCACCCTCTGTCCTGGGAGTGCGCTATGACGGATGCCCCGGGATAGCCGCCGATGGTAGCGGAGTCTCTACAGACCCACACCCCTCCGGACCCTCGCGCGGAGGCCCTCGCATGTGCCCAAGAGCACGGCGAGGGGCTACAACAAAGGCGACAGAACCAGACGCCACCTGCGCCGGCGCGCTCGGTGCAGTACGCTGCGCCCCGTGCGCGTAACCCGGTGAGCGGCACCTGGGGTCATGCCCGCCAGGTTCAGCGCAACATCATAGACGGGGGAAATGATCCCCCATAGTTTGCTTGGGTTGGCCAAAACATTGCCGTTGCGGTGATGCTCCAGCGTGGCCTCCCCGAGGCGAACAACCCCCAGGAGCAGGCAACCACCGGAATTTCCGGGTGCTAGTGGAAACTGCCGTCGTTCAACAGGTCGAAAGCTCTGCGTCGCGCCACCGACTCGTGGCCTCTTTCCCTACCAGGGGAATGGGGGCGCGCCAGTCCAACCGCTCCATCCGTTCACCACTACGGCCATCGGGCGTGGAACAAGAGGGCGTAGCTGTGCCATCGCCTAACCCGGCAGCCGCTCCACACCGGCCACCTATGCGCAAATGCCTCAGGCCAAACCGAGATGCTCGCAACATCATTAGCAACTGGCGTTGGGCCTGGCATGATGATGATGTCCATCGGGCGGCGGTGAGAGCAGACGACATGGGCTCCGGTCGTACCATCGAGGGGACCGATGAAATGCACCCCAGGCGTGGTCACCGACCCAACAACCGGAGTCCTAGCCTGGATGGCCCAGGACCATAGGCCTTTGGCTAATGCATCCAGAGAGTGCCGTTCCCACAGCACGTCCGACCGCCTACCAACATCGCCAAGTATATCAGGAAGACGAATCCCGTTATATGGCTCGAAGACTTCTAGCTTCGCCTATTGAGCAGGAGGAGTGGATGATGACCACTTCATCATCTAATACCTTCCCATTTGCGTGGGGGAACATGACAGCATCCACGACTGGGCGGACCTCAAGAGGATCTTCGTCGGGAATTTCCAGGGGACCTCAAGAGCTGCCAGCAGGAGCCCAATGAGTCCCTATGGGACTACATCCGTAGGTTCTCAAAGCGGTGCAACTCCTTTCCTGATGTCATCGACACAGACGTCATCAGTGCATTCCTCTTTGGGACAACCTGTGAGTCCCTGATCCACAAGCTTGGCTGCCTAAAGCCTCGTACCACCCGTGACCTGCTCGACGTCACCACGAACCACGCATCCGACGAGGAGGCAGTCGGAGCGGTCTTCAACAAAGGTCGGGACAAGGGCAAGGCCAAGCGCGAGGATCAAGACGACGGCCCCTCCACACAGAGGGGTAAAAAGAACAAGAAGGATCGGCGCCGGCTGGCTAACTCCACGTTGGTCGCCGCGGTTGATCACACGGGCAAGC